CCCGCCCCGCCTGCCCCTGGACCCGACCCGCCCTGGCCACGCCCCCAGTCCCCCTCATTCTAAGGCGGCCCAGGACCCTTCTCTCCCAGCTGCGCCTCTGGCCCGGCCGCTCCAACCTGGGCCCTGCGCTAACCACACGCCTGGCCCCAGCTCCTGCCCATGCCTCGACTAAGCTCCAGCCCTGGCCCCGGTGCCCTCATACCCAACCTCCACGAAGGCCAGGCCCTCCCCTTTCCAACTCCTCAGCCCTCACCCAGACCAGGCCCAGCCGTGACCCCTTCCTGGGCGCCTGGCCTCGTGCCAGCCCCACGCAGCCCCTCCAGGCCCAGCGCGGCCCTCACCAGGCTCCTGCCTTGGTCCAGCGCTGACCCTGTCTCCCAGGGCCAGCCTGGTGTCCCCCCAGCGGCCCCTCACCGTCAAAGAGGGTGAAGAAAGCTTCTCTCTCGTCCTTGACGTCCAGACGGTAGGTCTCTGGGAAAAACTCTTCCATTCTCAGGACCCTGAGGGGTGGGGAGGTGGAAGGAGGTGCTGTCCCTTCATCCCAGGCTGCCTGTGCGCGTGCTTTGAGGCCTGGCCTGTGGCGGGAGGGAGCACGGCCCTGGCACCTGGAGCCCTCGGCCCTGCTCCTCGTGGGGTGTCGAGTTTCCTGCTCCTTTGCAGGCCCCGCTCGGGCTGTGCTGCTGGCTGCAGCCTCTGGCTGCCGACCCCACCCGGCCCCTCCTTCGCGGCTGCTTCTTTCCTGGTGGCTCTCCTGTCTGGCATTGTCTCAGCCGTGAGCCACCAGCTCCCGGCATGTCCTCGTGGCTGGGACCACGCGCACGTGCAGGGGGGTCAGCATGGGTCTCTGCCTGGCCAGGATGGACCCCTGGTTCTAGCTCCTGGTTCTCCCTTGTGTGGGACCCCCATCCTGCTTTCTCCTTTTCAGTCAGCACTGGGTTTAAGTCTGAACTGCAGTCTGAAGGCTCCTCACAGCAGGGCTGAGTGTCCACTCTGTGGCCCCTCACAGCGGGGCTGAGTGTCCACCTCTGTGGCCCCTCACAGCGGGGCTGAGTGTCCACTCTGTGGCCCCTCACAGCGGGGCTGAGTGTCCACCTCTGTGGCCCCTCACAGCGGGGCTGAGTGTCCACCTCTGTGGCCCCTCACAGCGGGGCTGTATCCACCTCTGTGGCCCCTCACAGCGGGGCTGAGTGTCCACCTCTGTGGCCCCTCACAGCGGGGCTGAGTGTCTACCTCTGTGGCCTGAGGTGTCCTGGGCTTGTCCACGGGAGGTCCTCCAGGGTGGCCGCTGCTGCGTCCTTTCCCAACCTGCAGCCCAGGGGACAGAGGGCCTGGCTGAGGGGCCACTCATGATGCTTGGAGCGGGTGGGGACTGGGGGATGGGGCATGGGTGGTAGTGGGTGGACACATGAGTTTTGATGAAAGCAGGCAGCTGGGTGGACAGAGGTGCCCGGAGGAAACAGCAGCATTGCTGTAGCTGAAGTGGATGCTGGACCTGGTGTAAGGAGGGCATCACGGGTGACCAGGGGCGGGGCAGGGCAGGGGCGGCAGGTGCAGACTCACCTGGCCTGGGGGCCGCCTGGCACCTTGCTGGCCTTGCCCATGGCCCGTGCCCGCCCCCGGAGGGTGCTGAGCAGCCCGATCTTGGTGGTGAGGAGCTTATTGTTGGGAAGCTGGTACAGCAGCTGCTCTCCTGGAGGGCAGAGGCCAGGGCGTGTGCGGAGGGTGTGCAGGACCTGGGTCCCCACCCCTCCAATCTGCCCCGTGCTCCAGCCCAGGAGGCCCTGTCGGCGGCCTGCCTGAGACGCCCGGCGCCCCCACCGCTACCTTCCCGGAAGCTGCTGTAGCTGTCCCGGCTCTTGACCTCGCACCACTTCAGCATGTAGTCCTCCCGGCCGCTGTCCTGGATGCGCTTCCAGCCCTTGCTTTTGCAGTAGGAGCTGATGCTGCGGGGCGGGGAGCAGAGGTGACGGGCGGGGGCCCAGGTGAGGGGGTGGGGACTGCGGGCGGCCAGTGGAGGCCGGGCTGGGCCCCAGAAGCAGGCGATGGGCGTTCAGCGGGGTTGGGTGGGGGGCGTTCAGCAGGACCAGGGCCGGCCCGTACTCACATTGAGGCCCCGTTGCTGCCTCCAATGTAGAAGAAGGGCCCGGGCTGGGTGCTGTGGGACGATGGCTTCCCACCCCCCAGCAGGAGCCCCTCCAGGAGGGCAGCTGGGGTCCCAGCGGCCTCAGCGTCATCCGGGTCTGCAGGTGGGCAGCTGGTCGGGAGCCCAGGGGTTGTGGGCGTGGCAGAGGCTCTTCCTGCCCCCTCCAGGTCTGGCCCACAGTGCCCGCCTGCATCGTGGTCTGGCTGGCCTGGCTGACTTGGGAGTCCCTCCTCCTGGCCACTCCCCATTGGCCTCTCATGGGCTGGGCCTGTGAATGGGTGGGGTGCCACAGGGATGGCTACGGGAGCCGTCCACTGAGCCGGGACCCTTGCCAGCCAGTTGCATCCCAGCCCGTTCGTCACAAGCCTGGACAATCCCCCCGGCCTGTCTGGGGCTCAAGTTCAGCCCAAGCTCCCACGCGGCTGGACAGCCCGGGGACTGCTCACAGCTGGGGAGGAGCCGCAACCACCCTCCAGGGCCTGGCTTCCTGCTGGCAGGGTCCAGGTGAGGGCACGGAGCTCAGAGCAGGGGCAGGGAGGGCCCCCACCCTTCTCACCAACAGGGCAGCGGCCTGGCACAGGGCAGGGACTGGGCAGAGAGGCCTGTGCTGGGTGCAGACTTGGCAGCAGGGGTGGCCCCAGGAGGGCAGGGGTCACAATGGCCATGATGACGTCACGGGTGACCCGAGGGGCCATTACCAGGCAGGGGACAAGGGGGGCTGCCCTTCTGGCCACAGGCAGGGGCAGTGCCACCCGTGGCTGCCTCTGGGGGTGGTACCAGCTGGACAGAACCTGGGCCGTGGACTGCGGCGTCTCCCTCTGTGCCTGCAGAGCCAGTGTCCACAGCAGGTCCCTCTCAGAGCAGTGGGGCATGGCCGTGCGTGGGTCCTGGTCCCACCCTATGAGACTGACTTCCCGGGGGATGGGCCGCCTGTCCCAGGGTGGCCCTGGCCTTGGAAAGGAGGAGGCCGCCCAGGGCTGCTCTATTCACCGAGACTCGAGCTGGGCGCGGCTGACTCCTTCGCTGCTTGCCCCTCTTGGAGCTGGCTCGGGTCCTAGTGGGCCATCCCTGGTGCTGGGCGAACCGGGCGTGGCTGCTGGCCACTAGCCGGGGGGGCACCAGGGTGAGGGCCCTGCAGGGAAGATGCCGCTCTGACCCTCCTATGGGACCTTCCATCTCCCCGAGGCCCCAGCGCTTGGGTGGAGCAGGCAGTCGGGCCCACCCAGCGTGGGGAAGGGCGCTTCCTGGGGCTATGGACCCGAGCCTCTGCATGCGCTGGACCCCGTCTCCTGGGGCAGCTGTGGGGCCTGGTGCCCTGTGGGGTCGAGGCCCTCTCTGGGCCCCGTCTCTGCCAGGCGAGTCCTCCCTGCCCAGAGCTGCTCCTCAGGCATGGCCGAGCTTGACCTGGGTCCCAGCTGGAAGGAGGGGCAGCATCAGGCCTGCTGGGTGGGGCGCCCGCCAGGAGATGGAGGGTGGGAGGGCTCCCTGGCCTGAGCAAGGGTCTCCGCTATTTCCAATGCTGACCCCAGAGCCCAGCTGTGGGCTGAGTGCAGCTGCCTGGCGCCTGCCGTCAGGATTCTGCTGCGGCCGCCCCCGGGGCCCAGGCCAGACCCCCAGGACGCCGTCCCCTGCAGCACCTTCCCGGGCTGCAACTCAGGAACTTCTCGGGAATTTTCAGCCACTTCCTTGACAGATCCTTCCGCCTCCGTCTCAAGCAAACAAACCTGTCTTGGGGCTGCTTGGGAGGTAACGAGTTTTGTTTTGTTTTTGTTTGTTTTTGAGCCGGAGTTTCGCTCTTGTTGCCCAGGCTGGAGTGTAATGGCGCAATCTCAGCTCACCGCAACCTCCACCTCCCGGGTTCAAGTGATTCTCCTGCCTCAGCCTCCCAGGCAGCTGGGATTACAGGTGCCCGCCACCACGCCAGGCTAATTTTGTATTTTTACTAGAGATGGAGTCTCACTGGTCAGGCCAGTCTTGAACTCCCGACCTCAGGTGATCCGCCCACCTTGGCCTGGCAAAGTGCTGGGATTACAGGCCTGAGCCACTGTGCCTGGCCTAGGTGAGGACTTCCAAGGGTTTGAAGGAACTCGGCCAGGAGACGGGAGAGGCCACGGAGGCTCCAAGGCTGGGGAGGGCTGGGGGAGGCCTGAGGCTCAGGCTGGGAGCAGAGCTTTCCACAGGCCGCCCCTGCAGCTGACCTGGCCTGCAGAGGCCTTTGTGTCTGTCCCCTGCTGCCCCGTCTCAGTGACAGGAGCAAAGGAGACAAGGAGGGAGCCCACATGCAGGGGAAGGTGGGGAAACTGAGGCAGCCATCCACATGATGATCCGGCCAAGTAGGGCCCATCCTGGGGGAGGAGCGGAACACAGGCTGGGCCCTGCGCCTTCGGCCAGGAGCGCCTGATGCGGTCTTCCTAGGCTGGGCTGGGCAAGAATGGAGGGAGTCAGGAGCCCTGAGACCCCTCCCCACCCCTCCAGCACAGGAGGGCTGGACCTGCGCTGGCGTGGGGCAGGCGTGTGTTTGCGCGAGACTCTGCATTAAAGGGAGATCTCGGCCCCTTCTCACAGGTTCTCAGCACCCAGGGTCCTCCTGGGGAAGGGGTCCTCTAAGGTAGTTAAACAGGCCACCCAGGCTCAGCGTCATCAGAAGGGCTCCCAAGTGTGAGCAACAGAGTGACAGATGCGTCTACACACACACACATGCACAGACATATGCACACACCCACACACCTACCTACACACACAGACACGTCTACACACACATGCACGCACAGACACACCTACACACACACCACGGAGTTCGCCACAGGACCGCCCAGCCCTGCAACCAGCACGGCACACACACCCTCCACCGCCTGACGTGGGCCTGAGCTGCTCGCAGGGCGGCACGGGGGCCAGGGACCCCAGTGCGGTCTCCACAGAGCGGGCTCAGCCTTGCCCCACCCCCTCCCTCCCCCACCGCCTTCTCTCCTGGGCAGCGTCCTGAGGGGACCCGCGGGGAGGGCATGGGGGCGGGGCTGAGCCCACTGAGCCCACGCTGGCTGCAGGCGCCTCTCACCTGCGCAGCCCGAGGTCCCCGGAGCCCGGGCAGGGAAGCCACAATGTGACCTGGCAACCGTCTCCCGGCAACCACCACCACCAGTCACCGCGGGACTTAGGGGCATGGGAGGGGCTGGGGGCCGAGGCCGGAGAAGGGCCCCCCAGTCATCCCTGGGCTGAGCCCGGTGGCTGCCCCTCCACCCGGCCCTCCGGGGGCGGTCCCTGAGCAATCTCCCGGGTCCCACCCATGGTCAGCACCCCAGGGCCTGGCGGGGGCTGCCCCGGTGATGTTTGCAGAGTAAACCGCCGTGGATCTCGGAGCTTTCTCTGTTCTCCATGTGGTCACGTCCCCGTTCCCACTCCACAGGCAGCGTGTGGGCTCAGCAGGGCCAGTGCCCCCCAGAATGGGGTGGGGGGCTACTCACATCTCTCAGGCCAAACTGGAGCCCCTCACCATGTTGCAGATATTGGCCAAAGTGAAACATTCTGAGGGGGTTGGGGCCGTGAGAAACAGCCTGCCCAGCACCTGACCTTGTCACACTGGGAAAGGGTCCAAGGACCACACCGTGACCTTCTGGGGGAACAAGAGCCAAACACATCGCCTCATCATGAAGCTGTCCCGCCCAGACCCCTCCGGCCCGCACCCGCGGGTGCCCGGACCCCTCCCGCCCGCACCCTCGGGTGCCCGGACCCCTCCGGCCCGCACCTGCGGGTGCCCAGACCCCTCCCGCCCGCACCTGTAGGTGCCGGAGCCGCAGGCCGTGGTGGCTCTGGTGTGAAGTGGGCCCGCCCCCGCAGGTGTTTGCGATGCACCTGTCTGCTGCAGAGCTGCCCTTTATCTCTCTCTGTCTGTGTTTAACCCTCACCTTCCCTTTGAACCCCTCAACGATACTGTCTGGGAGTCCTGGGCTCCTGGCACGGCCCCTTGCACGGTCTGACCCCCTCTGCTCAAACCCTGAGCCTCCAGCCATGTGTTCCCTCCCTACCCGTGTCCTTAGGAGCCTTGCATGTGTCACAAGGGTCCCCTTGCAGGGGGCTGGGGTGCCCCTAAAGACAACCACATCCTAGCCCCGAAACCTGGAATCTGGCCTTATGAGCAGGGTCTTTGCAGGCGGGGTTACGTCAGGACCTCAGGTGCGATGGCCCAGGATTGGGCAGGCCCTAAACACATGGCCAGTGCCCTCCAGAGAGGGAGGCGGAGAGGGGAGAGGCAGACTGGGGCAGATGCCATGGGACTGGGGGTGGGCGGACACAGTAGGGGGCAGAGATGGGCCTGAGCTGGCAGCAGGAAGGCTGTGGCCTGCAGGAGAAGGCGCCCTGCAGGAGTGCGGTGAACCACTCGGGCCAAATCCTGGCTGGCTCCTCCCTCCAGCTCCAGGAGCCTGAGCTCCGGGCCTTGGCTGGGGAGGAAGGGGCCTCACCTGTCTCTGGGGAGCCCCTGAAAGGAAGAGGCGGGGGCGGCACGGGGCGAGTCCTACCCCTCTCCCTGGTTCTGTCCAGCAGGGAACAGTGTCCTCACCCCTCCCCACACCTCCACCTGGTGCCTGGTGCCCAAGCTTCGGGATGGTCCTGCCAGGCCCCTCTGCCCCCTGGGAGCCTCAGGTCAGGCTGCAGGTGGAGCTGGGGTGGGTCCTGGACGGAGTGGCTGGGCCTTCGGGGCTCGGGGGCCGCCTGGGGGGGATGATGGGCGGTGGGGGCCTCGGATGGATCTGGGGGTTCTCCAGGCTGGGAGCAGTGGATCCAGGTTTGGAAGCTCTGGCTGTGGGAAGGGGCCTACGTGTGTCCCCTCCTCCCCGAGGCCCAGGCGGGTGGCCCGGCAGGAGCTTCGGGGGGTCGGGGGTGGGAAGGACTTGCCCAGCTCCACTCCAGGGCTGACCCTTTGGGGAGCAGAGCTGGGCAGGGCCATGGCCCCTGGGTGGGAGGGGAAGCCTCTTCTGGTCTTCACATTGCACCCGACCTTTGGAGGATGTGATCTGGACACACGCCTCCAGGACAGGTTTCTGGGTGTGGGGCGAAGTGGGGGTGCAGCGAGCGTGTCCCCCAACTCCTGTGGCCTCCGTTTCCCACGGCCCCCCCTTCCCCTGGCCTCCACTCCCTGAGGCCCCCTCTCCTTCTGGCCTCCCCTCCCCGAAGCTTCCTCTCCGCTCCTGAGAGGGGGGTGGAGAGAGGAGAAGCAGACTCTGGGGAGAGGCCACGGCATGGGGGGGCAGAGACGGGTGATGTGGCCATAGCCACGGACTCCTGAGCCGGCAGCAGGAAGGGTATGGTCCCTCCCAGCATCCTCTCCTCCCCGTGGCCTCTCCCTGCGGCCTCTCCTCCCTGGTGCCCAGGCCAGGCCCAAGGATTCCCCACTGCCAACCGGCCCTCAGAAGCCCCCAGGCCTTGGGCTGTGGGTGTGTCCAGTCCGTGTGTCCAGGTGGGTGCAGCCCCCAGGGCCAGGCAGAGTAGGGGAGGCTGGGCACCTCGGGCAGTAGGTGGGGTCTCCAGGCAGCCCTCATCGGAGGTGGTCCCTTTACCACCAACCCATGGCTGTCACCGGGGCAGGAGGCGCCGCCGTGGGTGGCTGGACCAGGACGCCTTCTTCACCGGCCCTGCTCCTGTTGGCCTGCACCATAGGCTCCTGGTCGCCTGCTCAGAGGCCCCCAGGGCCACCGGCCGCCCCTCCGTGAGGTCCTTCAGCACAGGCTGAGACGACTCCACTCAGGGGTTCTCCCTTCCCAGGGCCTAGACCCGAGCTGGCCACCGGAGGGTCAGGGAAGATTCCAGAGCAAATGACGGAGGGAGGGCAGGAGGGAGGGAGGGAGGGAGGGCAGAGGGAGGGACAGAAGGAGGGAGAGAGGGAGGGGAGAGGGAGGAATGGAAGGGGGAGGGGGAGGGGAGGAAGGAGGACGGGGAGGGAAACAGGAGGGAGTGAGGAGGAGGAGGAGGGAGGGAAGGGAGGGAGGGAGGGGGGGGGGAGGGGGGGGGAGGGGGGGGGAGGGGGGGGGGGAGGGGGGGGAGGCAGGAAGAGGGAGGGAAAGAGGAGGGAGGGAGGCAGGGAGCCTCTTCCAGGAGCCTCAAGGCCCCCAGGGCCTGCAGAGTCTGGGGCTTTGTCCTCAGCTGGGCCTTTTGTGCTGCTGAGGGTCAGTGCTTGTGTGGTTAAAATAAAGAGCTGGTCCAAGCAGGGGTGCGTGAGCCGCAGGGTTTATTTCTGTATAAACACCTCTTCTGTTTTGTTCTCAGTGCTTAGGGTGGGAGGGAAAGAGAAGGGGAGGGGAAGGGGAAGGGACTGCGGAGCTCTCGGCCTGGCCCACCAGCCCCAGCAGGGTCCTTCCCGCCACCCTCCGGGTGGAGAGTGACCCCTGTGCAGCGTGGGGCGCGTCTGTAACTGAGGGGTGCTCAGAGCCACTGGCTGGAAGGGAGGTGCTGGGGTGGGCGGGGCCCCCGAGCTCTGAGCCGTGTTGGTGGACTGGGCGGGCTCAGGCTCACAGGGG